CCTGCTGCTGCCTGGTGCTGCCTGCCTGCTGCTCCTTGCTGCTGCCTGCTGCTGGTGCTGCTGCTGTGGTGCTGCTGTGGTGCTGCTGCAATCAAACAGCCTCCAAAGCAAGAAACAAACAGCCAGACACCCTTTTCGAAACACATCCGAAACAGCAAAACACCACCTAATTTCGTGCCCAAAACGTAGCAAAGGAACTCCAAAAAAGGGCCTAACGTCACTTCTGAAACCCTACTATAAAATTGCAACTTTGCCGCTGCCTGCCGCTGCCTGCTGCTGCCTGCTGCTGCCTGCTGCTGCCTCTGCCGCTGCCTGCTGCTGCCTGCTGCTGCCTCTGCTGGTGTCTGCTGCTGCCTGCTGCTGCCTGCTGCTACCCGCTGCTGCCTGCTGCTGCCTGCCTGCTGCTCCCTGCTGCTGCCTGCTGCTGTTGCTGCTGCTGGTGGCTGCTGCTGCTGCTGTGGTGCTGCTGCAATCAAACAGCTTCCAAAGCAAGAAACAAACAGCCAGGCACCCTTTTCGAAACACATCCGAAACAGCAAAACACCACCTAATTTCGTGCCCAAAACGTAGCAAAGGAACCCCAAAAAAGGGCCTAACGTCACTTCTGAAACCCTACTATAAAATTGCAGCTTGCTGCTGCCTGCTGCTGCCTGCTGCTGCCTCTGGTGGTGTCTGCTGTGCCGCTGCCTGCTGCTGCCTCTGCTGGTGTCTGCTGCTGCCTGCTGCTGCCTGCTGCTGCCTGCAGCTGCCTGCGGCTGCCTGCGGCTGCCTGCCTGCTGCCTGCTGCTGGTGCTGCTGCTGGTGCTGCTGCTGGTGCTGCTGCTGGTGGCTGCTGCTGCTGCTGCTGCTGCTGTGGTGCTGCTGCAATCAAACAGCCTCCAAAGCAAGAAACAAACAGCCAGACACCCTTTTCGAAACACATCCGAAACAGCAAAACACCACCTAATTTCGTTCCCAAAACGTAGCAAAGGAACCCCAAAAAAGGGCCTAACGTCACTTCTGAAACCCTACTTAAAATTGCAACTTTGCCGCTGCCTGCCGCTGCCTGCCGCTGCATGCGCTGCCTGCTGCTTGCCGCTGCTGCTCTGCTGTGTCTGCTGCTGCCTGCTGCGCCTGTGCTACTGCTGCTGCCTGCTGCTACATGCGGTGCTGCCTTGCTGTCCCTGCTGCTGCCTGCTGCTGGTTGCGCTGCTGGTGGCTGCTGCTGCTGCTGTGGTGCTGCTGCAATCAAACAGCCTCCAAAGCAAGAAACAAACAGCCAGACACCCTTTTCGAAACACATCCGAAACAGCAAAACACCACCTATTCTTGTTGTTGTTGTTGTTGCTGTTGCTGTTGCTCTTGCTGTTGCTGCCATAAAATAAAATTAAAATAGAATCCTGTTGCCTGCTGCCTGCTGCTGCCTGCTGCTGCCTGCTGCTGGCTGCTGCCTGCTCCTGCCTGCTGCTGGCTGTTGCTGGCGGCTGCTGCTGGCTGCTGCTGGCTGCCTAACGCCGGCTGCTGCTGGTTGCTGCTGCCGGATGCTGCCTGCCAGACACCTACTGCTGCCTGCTGCTGGCTGCTGCTGGCTGGTGCGGGCTGCTGCTGGCTGCTGCTGGCTGCTACCTGCTGCCTGCTGCTGCCTGCTGCTGCCTGGTAGTAAAAGTAGCAGTGCAGTACCTCTTCTTCCCTTACGCGCTCCCCCTTGCATCGGCCGGGGTCAGCGAATTATTATTATTCTTTCCTGGCAGCTGTATGCTCCCCCTTGCATCGGCCGGGGTCAGCGAATTATTATTATTTCTTTCCTGGCAGCTGTGTCATAAACTCTTTTTCCCTTACGCACTCCCCCTTGCGTCTGCCGGGGTCGGCGGATTCCTGATCCAGCCATCCGCTGACCTGATATTGCTGCCCGGAATGACCAAGAAGGCTAAGCGGCTACGTACAACAACCCACGACAACATACAGAGATAAATGAGATAACACGATGCTCAACAAGCAAGACAGTTGACACCTGCCTGCATCGCCTAGTCTGGTTTTCCAATTTTTCCTCGAACTCTGCTATGCAAGCTGAAGTAGCAAAGCTCAGCTTACATAATTGACCTGACATTGTTTCATTGCCCCATTGGGCGCGATTTCATCGCTGGAAGTTTCGCCATGTCTCTGGGATCGGCCCCAGTTCGCCATGCATTTGCGTTACGAGCGCCTTGGTCAAGTCCCATGCCCAAACGCATCGCTGGGCGAAGACCGTGTGCGTTTTCAAAGAGGCTTGAGCCGGCAGAGGCTTGGCGTTCTGTTGATGTCGCATTGTAACAGGAAACATTTCCATTGCGTGTACTTTGTGTCCTATATGTATAGCATATCGCTCTCTCATGCTCTCTCTCTCTCTATACAGATGTATATATAACTATATAATACATACAATTATAATTAATTATAATCAATTAATATCAATTATATATATACAATTATATATATATAATATATATATACAATTATACATATATATATATATATATACACAATTATAATTATATTGAAGCACAAGCATTGTGCATAGGAACATGAAAGGTCACGAGCTGAAACACCGGAGGTGTGGAGGCTCAAATTCCAAAAAATCAGGTCCAGTTAGAGCACCTGAGCCATGCCGTGTTCCTGGAGCACTCTCTTTGCGGCGAAGTGCCGCCACCACGTGTTCCTCCGCACTGTGGCACATGGGGATGAACCGGTGACGAACACGGCCGTGGCCATCACAGTCTGGGCAGCGACGTGGCACCAATTTGTGCTGCTGACTGAGCCCGTCTCCCGGCTCCATTTGCCACGCCTCTGTGACTTCGTGCACCACATGCTGACAGAGAGCGTGCAACTCATGGGGGCGACAACTGTGGGCCACGATGACTACCTCCAACAGGGGTGCCTGGTCAACGAGGTCGCTGCAGCCATTGACCGTGGCTACATCATGGACGAGCTCAGGGCACAGACCCCGAGACTTGCTCGACTCAGAGCAGACATGGACGTGCTCAGGGCGAACAACTTCGACCGAGTACTGGGGGCCCTAGCGGCATGCGCAGAGAACCTATATGACTTTGTTCCGGAGCTGTTCGTGCAGTCATTGTGCGACCTCACCACAGGCCTCAATGCAGCCATCAATGACTTGCTCCAGGTGAGATCTTCTCTCGCAGTCCCTCAGCGGATCACCACGATAGCACCCACAGGGGGATCTGATGGCAGAGCAGCCACCATGGAAGAGGCCTACAACTCCTATCGGAACCGATTGCGGGCATCCGAAGAGTCAGCCAGGGACGGATTCTCATAGACATCCATGGAGCACTGGGTGTAAGAAACACCTTGGAAAGTGATCGTATCGAGCCTCCGGAAAACTAGCATCAGTCTCCTCACAGACACTGATCCATCGACAGTTGCCTCAATCAGTTTGATTCCATTTCAGGTTTGTCACACACACGTACATACTGGTGTCATGTTAGTACATACCACACCTTACTGAGTTATAGTTGATGTCACACACACACACACCATCAGCATTGACCGACGTCTTGGGCACTCATTGCACATTCAGGCATCATCTTGACACTGCCGGCACCATCCTTTCAGGATATGGCCCAATGGATACTTTTAGGAAATTAACCGAAGCTGCAATAGCAGTTGGAGCCTCCGATTGGCTCCCGGACTTAGTGGAGGTGGCCCTGACAACTCCGTCAGCGGTCCAATCCCATGGAGCGGCACCCCCGGTGCCAAACATGCCTGCCGAGAAATGGCAGGCGCTGAGAGACGAAGTGTCTCGTGACCTGCCGATGAGCAGCCGTCACACCACAGGTCGCAAGGACCATCCTGTGGCCCTCCCGAGTCAGGGAGGGTCCTTAGTGCAAGCCATTGCGGCAGCATCAGTCAATGAGAGAAACAAGTCCTTGCAGATGCTCCAACAGGATGTGTATGCTCAATCGAACTCAGGCCCACAGGCCAGTCGCATGAAGACCTGGCGTCAAATCGCCCAGGCATGGGGACTGGACCCACTACCACTGACACCAGAGCTCATCAAAGCAGTGGGAGCATCCTTTAAACGAGGTGGGTACCGATCAGCCCACCTGTACTTTGGCTCAGCGAAGAAGGAGCACATCATGCAGTTTGGATCCCTGTCACAAGACTTAGAGATCCTCATCAAGGACGTGATCAGGTCCATCGAGAGGGGACAGGGCCCGTCCAAACTCAAAGACAGCTTCAACCTTCGCGACCTAGCGGGGATTGACCTCACGTTGGAGGGTGACCAGTTCCGCATCCACCACAACATGGTGGTACTCGGCTGCTTCTTCTTGACTCGTGAAATAGAACTGTCAGCCACACTCAGGCGACACATCAGGATGGACACAGAGAAATTGACGGTGTCCTGGACACTCCCGGCCACCAAGACATGTACCAAGGGAGAGCTCACAGAACGCACACACAAGTGTATGTGCAGGTCCCTGCCATCACAGATGTGTCCATATCACTGCATGGAAGACACCCTGCTATTGACCCACGACGCTTGGGAACACACGGACGATGGTCCACTCTTCTTGCAGGACTATGACCACATGTCCAAGATTTACACCATCGATGCAATCCGATCGGTGTTGAAACGAGCCAACATCCAGACCCAAAGACAGGGAGTTGACGGGCCCGTGGAGAGGTTCCATGGCCATTGCCTCCGCATTAGCGGGGCCCAGGCACTGGTGCGCTTGGGCTTCAGCACCACGCTGATTATGTTGCTGGGCAGATGGGGGAGCCACGCCATCTTCCGGTACATTCAAGACTCCCCTCTTCAGGAACTCATAGATGTCGATGCAGAATCAGAAGCTCGGGAGAAGGGAGCGCCAGCAACATCGCTTGAGCCAGAAGTGAAGAAACTGCGCACTGAACAGCGCCGGGTGCAGGCAGCCCTGCATGCTCTCACACAGAAGTGCGAGTCTCTAGCAGCGGAAGTTGCAGACCTCAACACGACACCGCCGTATGTGGTTGGGAAGAAGGCACATCAGCCCGACACCCGTGAGAAGGAGCTCGAGCCTCGCTATTGGGCCACCAAGTGCGGTTGGCGCTACGGGTTGACACGTTTCACCCGCTCCAGCGCGGCTCATGACCTTTGCCGGAAGTGCTTCCAGACAGAGAGCACGGGGGTAGCATCATCAGAAGAGGAGAACGCACTCTCCTCCAGCAGCTCGGACGACTGAGACATTCCAGGCCAAAAAGTGCGCCGACAGCCACCTGACGGTTTTGTCACATGTCATAGCGACACGCATTCTGAGAGTTTTCTTTTTGATGTTTTGCATGTTTGAGAGCCATCACATGCCCAGCCATTCATCACTTGGGAGCGGGGGTCGCCGAGTCAGGGACCCCATCCAAAGCTCCGTTTCATGTGCCAGTCACACATGAACATGCTTGGCATCAGAGGCGGGCCTCCCGAGCCAGGGGACCCAGGCCATACCGTCATCAACACATCACCCAGCCGAGCTAGGTGGGTGCAGATGAAGATCATCTGTAGCACAAAGCTTGTGCCGACTGCAGGTTTTTGGCTCACGCAGAGCCACCATCAAGTGACACTCTGACCTGACAGAGATCCATCACGTTTTGTTCTCACTCGTCATCAATTTATTTCAATTTTTTTGCACCTCGGGACACGGGTCACACGTTTTTTTTCATTGAACCGTAGAACGGATCGTCGTTGCGCCATGAGGGGTCTCAACCCCGATCTAGTCCAGATGGCCGATGAGGCAGGCATCGATCAGACCATCCTGGACTATTTGAAAGCTCGGAAGGCCATGTCAATCGGAGTGCTGGGAGCCATGGCCTGCACATGGGATGAAGTGGACACGACTTTGGTCCAGCCGTTGTTGGATGGCTACGAGCACGACGGAGTGACTCACCAGGTGGCACAGAAAGATGCCGCTTTGGCCAAAGCTCAGATCAGGTTCCTCTGGAAGAAGAGCCACGACTCTCTGGACGGGACACCAGTGTCGACGCCCAACACGGCAACTCCGCCTTCATCGGGCACCAATGCAGCCAGCAGCAAACAGCCTCCGAAAGAGATCCCCCCTGACATCCTGCGGGACCTGCTGGCCAAGTATGAAGACCAACAGATCGACGGCATGCGTCGTGAATTTCCACAAAGAATGCTCCTAGGGGCTGACAAGGTGCTCAGCCGCTTATGGTGGGAGAAGGAGCACAAGGCCTTCAGTCCAATCGGCCTCCATGAGCTCCTGACAGCTCGGGTCTTCGACGCTGCAGGAAACCCAAACCCGCTGGCACAACAGATGGAAGCCAGACTGGTGGCGGCGGGCAGCAGCTCCAACACGTCGCCTGAAGAAACACAGTGGACGCCGAAAGGGGTCTTAGCCTTGCTCGACGCCTTGGAAGCGATCGAATGGGCATTCATCCTACTGCGGATGGGCTCGGAAGCCGAAGTGAGAGCCTGGATCTCGTGGTGGAGGTGCTTGGTCCGCACCAAGACGCAGAAGCTGGAGCAGATCAAGCAGTACTGGTTAGAAGCCAGCTGGAAGGTGTGCCTCGAGATGAGGCAGGGCATCACCTTTGCAGACATCACCAAGCAGGTGATGACAGAACAGCACTCTCTGCAGAGCGCACTCCAGAAAGACCTACCACTGGCTCTGCCGAAACCCAAACCGACACCTCCAACCAAGCAGCCGAAGACAGAACCATACCGAGCCAACAGCTACAACCAAGGAAAAGGATCGCAGAGAGGACGGTGGGCCAACCAAGATCAATGGTCTCAACGCCAGTCTCAGAAGTATGACAACAGGTCCAGCCAGCCCTATCGTCACTCTGGTGGCGGTGGCACGGGTGGCTACCCCACCGGCTAGGGACAGCTCGGGGCTTCGTCGCAAGACGGAGTACCCGGAAAGAGACGGCGAGTGGACCCGCCTGACAGGCCCACAAAACATCATGGTCAGCCCGTGATCCTGCTCAGTGCCTTCGATGGCATCGGCTGCGCCAAGCTGGCTCTGGACCAAGCCATGGCCCGGACCGACTGTTGGCTCATGGCCTACATCGCATGGGAGATCGATGAGGATTGCTGTCGGCTGACAGCCAACGCCCATGGAGCACAACACAGAGGCGACTTCACCAAAGATGATCTGGATGCTCTCACCGAGACCATCAACCAGCTGGACCCACATGCACAGGCAATCATCGTGTTTAGCGCTGGACCGCCATGCCCAGACTACTCACGGATCACAGAAGGACCTGGCCGAGAGGGAACAGAAGGCATCAAGTTCGAGATCTATGCCAAGTGGTTGAAAGAGGCCCACAACCGCCTCAAGCCCAGACGGATGGCCAAACTGGTCGAGAACGTCATCCCACACAGGCGGGGAGACATCCAGTACTTCGAGGAGAAACTCCAGTGCACGGCCGTGATCCTGGAAGCCACTGAGTTCAAAAGGATCTCAAGGCCGAGAACTTGGTGGTCCTCAATCAATTGGGACGACGCTTCCGTCTCAACAGTATTTGGCACAGCCGTGTCATGGAAGAAACACTTTGGCACTCACAAACTACAGTGCCCTCAGCCTATCAGCGAGGTCTTCATTCCTGATGGCTGGAAGGCCCTCAAGTGCTGGGCCGAGGGTGACACACTGCCCTGCCTCACCACGCCAGCTCCTACTGAGGCGGGGCGGGCCGCTCCAAGATCTCAAAAAGGCAAGATGGACTCAGCCACCCATAGCCGCTGGATCGCGGACAACCGCCAGTATGCCCCTTGGCACTACATGGAGAACTCGTTGATGGAAGCCCCGACTGGGAGGCTACAGACACCGCCCATCGAGACCAAGGAGTCACTGCATCACTGCCGGTGGGCTACACAGCCAGCATGCCAGACAAAGCCCGGCACAAGGCAGTGGCCAACAGCTGGCACGTGGGAGTTGCCAGCCTGCTCCTGGGGCTCCTGCTGCTTCGAGCCCAAGCAGTCACGGCGGTGACTGTTGACAGACCCCAAGCACCATGCGAGATGCCAGCACTCGACACTCTGGCACTGTGGTGGAGAGATAGTCCACCCCTGGGACCAGGCCCCCCAGGCATGAAGGCCAGTCACCAACTCCTTACAGGACATGTGGCAGCACTGGGAAACTGCCTTGACATTGAGTGACCCGGTACAGGAGACACTCACACTCGAACCACACCTGAAGCGCACTTTGCAACTTCAGGCACAGGCCGACATCGACCTCATCAACCTCCGGAGAAGAGTTTGCTATGAAGTACAGCAGATGGTGCACGACATGAGAAACGACACCGAGGACTGGCTACAGGGTCTACGACCCCACATCCGAAATCTCTACGGCACCATCGACACCTGCATCCAAGTTTTGGCACTTCGAACCATCGCCCAGATGTTCCATTGGGGCGACATGCACCTGTTCGAAGAGATGGAACAGGGATTCCCACTGCTGGGACACCTGGCCCCGGGTTGGGGCTGGCCACAGAGGACAGATGATCGCTATCAACACCCACTCGAAAGGAGCCAACTGCTGGCCTCCAACCTCGAGTACATCCAGCAGAAACTGAAGAAGCACAGGTGCGACCCACACTGGGAAACACTTCTGACTGAGATCACGCAGGACATCAAGGTCAGACGAATGGATGGGCCCTTCTCCAGCCCCAACGAGTGGCAGCGCCGCACAGTAGCTGCCCCTCAGTTTCACCACACAAGAGAGCTGAAGTCGGGACCGACATCGCATCAACCCACCAGCATGGCCTTCTCGATCATGCAGACGGGCGCTGATGGGAAAGAAAAAATCAGACGCGGTGAGGACTGGAGACGAGGACTTCAGAACATGACAGTTCAAGTCCAAGATGCTCCTGTCAATCATTGCCCAATCACCTTTGTCGCCATAGCAAGAGCGATGGCACAAGAAGGCCAACAGGCGCACGTCTGGGGCACAGATCAAGAAGACGCCTACAGACAGCTACCAGTCAAGAACCCTGACGACACCTGGGTCGTGCTCTTCACGCCCAACGGAGCGACACTGTGGCGCCACAACGCCCTGCTTTTTGGGGCCACCGGCTCAGTTTGGGCCTATGGACGAACCGCAGACTTCATCATGTGGCTGGCACGGACACTGCTGCTGACCCCTTGCATTCACTACGTGGATGACTTCGCAGCGGTGGAAAACACCCAGCTGTCCGAATCGTCCTTCGAAACAGCCCATTGCCTCTGGGAACTGCTGGGCTTCAGATTCAAGCCCTCCAAGAAACAGAGTCCCGCAGCACAACACAAGATTCAGGGAGTGATCATGACGATCGCCGAGGATCACTTCATCTTGGCACCAGATGAAGCACGCAGCCTGAGAGTGATAACACAACTGAAAGAGATTCAGTTGCAGGACGACGTACACCCAGATGAGGCCATGAGGCTAGCCGGGAAACTGCAGTTCATGACCGAGACCATAGCAGGACAAGCCATGCAAGCTTGCCTCAAGCCTTTGTATCATCGAGCATACCAGGGACCTACCTCGGGACCTTTGGGAGCCGGACTGCAGGATGCCATCGAAACCATGATACACATCTTGGAGAACATCCAACCACGGCTCATTAGATTCGAGTTCCAAACCCCGGCGGTGATGTACGCCGATGCCTTCTTCCAGGCCGGAGACCGAAAGATCAAGATCTCCGAAGCCGACACTGCAGATTGGGACTCAGACATCACGAACCTGATGCACAATGGCTGGGGATTCGTCCTCCACACCCACCAGGGGACATACTTCGCCCACGGCACCATACCTGGACACCTACTGGGGCGCTTCACAGAGCGTAGAGCATTCATCTACGCACTAGAGATCATTGCTCAGATGATCGCATTGATCGTCACCAAGCACCTGTGGGAGCACAGCATCTGGTGTTGGATCGACAATGAGCCAGGAAAGATGGCCTTGAAAAAAGGCTGTGGCAGGGACAGGAAAGTCAACAGACTCCTGGCAGCACTCTGGAGCTTCATCACAAAGGAGAACATGGATCCACACTGGCGCAGAGTTTGCAGTTCAGCAAACATATCAGATGGGATCTCCCGCGGCGACCTCACCTTGGCACACCAAATGGGATGGCACCGCCTGGAGTGCGACTGGTCGCAGATCTACGAAGAGCTCTTCAGGTGCACATCATCCTTGCAACAGGCACTCCAATCGCATGCGGCGTTGTGCAGGGCCGCCGAACCCAAGTGCGAAAGCATGGCCAGTTCGAGTCGCACTACTATGGTGGAAGGGCAGCACACACAGAGCTGCACAGACATGTGCGACCAACAGGCGGCACGACGTCCAAAAAGGTGCGATGCAATGCCTGCTGCATGAAACGGTGTGAGAGGGTAGGACCGAAATGTTTTGAAGCACAAGCATTGTGCATAGGAACATGAAAGGTCACGAGCTGAAACACCGGAGGTGTGGAGGCTCAAATTCCAAAACCCACTGCCACCCACCCAAGCTGCTAGTTGCACAGTGCAGCGCAGTGGTGCGGCCGGTGGAAGGGCAGCACACACAGAGCTGCACAGACATGTGCGACCAACAGGCGGCACGACGTCCAAAAAGGTGCGATGCAATGCCTTCTGCATGAAACGGTGTGAGAGGGTAGGACCGAAATGTTCACACACATATATATACACTTATGTATATAATATATATATAATTGTGGTCATATTATTTTTAGTAATTTATATATGATTTTATATGTATATTATTCTACTAGATTTATATATTGTTCACTACGTATATCATAGTATATATAAACATGTATATTACTCCACTACACTGTACATATTATGGTCATAATATGCACTGGCTGTCACATACTTAAGAAGCATACATACTGCATAATTCTGTATCAGATTCGCATCAGTCTTGCATCCGAGCCAACGATCAAAGGCGGCGTTTGTGGCTGTGGCAGTGACCTGCAGTTGTCGAGCGCTGCAACGGCGTAGCTGCGTCAGGGTCAGGCAAAGGACCCAGGCAAGGGGAAAGGGTGGCTGATGATTCACTGGTGATCTTGAGAGATGGAAAAACTGTAACATGGAAAAACAAAAAAAATCCACTCAGACTCATTCTCTAGCCTGGCCTATATCTGCAGGCAGTGTTCAGCCGCAGTCAGCTTCAGGTGAAGACTAATTCCCAGATTCCTTGGAGACACGTTTCTGTCTGCTAAAGGTTTCGACTCGGCAGTTTGCTTTGCATGTCACATTCTGGTTGCATGGAACATCATGGAACCAACGCGACCAAACTGTTCTAGCTATGCTCGTCTGTTTTGAAAAGCCACAAGGTAGTTTCCAGGAGATACTCTGGATATGATCATAGCATATTCAACTTGTAGGAGACAGAGGAGGAGCGAATGCAACTTGACCAGGAAGCACGTGAAGGCATGGAAAAATACATGAAGCTGATACAGGAGCCAGCCGACATAGTTGACATTGCACTTCACTTTCACAGAAAAGATCACTGTAGGTTCCGATGCGGTATTGTGACGTTCACAGTTACAGAGTCCTAAAGAGCAACAAATAGATGTGACAGGATTTGGCTGACAAGGGCAACATTCGTGCTCAAAAGACAGCTGCTGGGACTCGTTTGTGTTTTCAAACCTTTTGGCTCCTTGCACTCTTTACCCGTGCTTGTTCATATTTGTTCATGTTAATTTTCAATATATTTAGATAGTTTTCACATGTTTTCACGGTGAGGCTTGGAAATGGGATCTTCGGAAGAAAGTCTGGAATTTCTTGGAAGACAACGACTTGGCTGACTTTCCTCGGCCCGTTCACCATCGTATTCCTAATTTCAAAGAGTCTGCAAAGGCGGGTGAACGCCTTGCTGAATTGCCGGAGTTCATCAATGCCAAAGTGGTCAAGGTGAACCCTGACACCCCGCAGAAATCTGTAAGAGTGGCAGCCTTGCGTTCAGAAAAGAGCCTAGACTCATTCAACAGATACGGTATGTCAGTTTGATGAGTTTGCTTGATTCATTTTTGTGTTGTGCGTCATTTTGCATAAGATGATCAGCAGCAATAAGAAAAATACAATGCTTCAAATCGAATGCTGCTTTTTGCCAGTGGGGCAGGCTACAGTACTGTTCAAGTGCCCACGGGGAGGGTTACATGTAGTGCTGTCATGGTGCAATGCTATCTTACAGAATCAGTAGGGATTACTTAAGCAGTGCTATTTGGCGTCCATTAGTGGTTCCAAGGAAGCCTGAAGGATCACTAATGATTAATGATCAACTTTTCGGTTTGGAAAAGGATGAAGCATGACAATTTGTGCCCGATCCAAGAGGCTTTTTATGCAGTCATGAATGAGTAAAATGCCCATCAAATCTATCATACAGCAATATCAACAATTTCATTAAACAACAGATCAACATGTGGTGGAGAAGATGATTGAAGTCTACCAAAGTGGTTCTGGTACTGGCAAGCAAGCTAATCTGAGCTGCAAGTAAATACGTACCTTTTCACGTTTTGCCATGTTTTGCCAACATGCCCTTGAAACATCTTGAAACCAGTAAACCAGAATGTATTAGTTCCACCATGCCACACGTTCGGCTAAGGACACTCTACGTGCCGCAACCTCGCTTAAGGACGGGTTTCTTTTCCCGGATCCAGCCAGGCAAGGTGCCGCCAGAGAAGTACAATTTCGCTGCTACAGCTGGAGGTATGAAACAACTGGCAGAGCCGATGGATTTGGACGACCGCACAAAGATTGACGTCGTGGTGATTGGCTCGTCAGCTGTGAACCCCGAAACAGGGATGCGAGTAGGAAAAGGTGAAGGCTTTGCTGAACTTGAGTATGGTATGATGAGGCAGTTGGGGATGATCGACGAGAACACTCCTGTCATAACGACAGTTCACGACAGCCAGGTGATATCTGAAAACTTTCCACCAAAAGGCAAGAACCTAATGAAACATGATGTGCCAGTGGACATCATTGTCACTCCAACACAGACAATCCGTGTTAACAAGGCCAGGCAACCTGCAAAGCCAACAGGTATTTATTGGGATTTGCTGTCTCGAGAGAAATTGGCTACCATTCGAGTCTTGCAGGATTTGAAAGCTCGCATAGAGGGCAAGACGGGCATTCAGTTGGAGCTGGCTGAACAAGAGGAGGCTCTTCCTCCTTTGGCCAAGCGTGGGCGGCCACGCCTCAGAGAATCCAAGCGAGATGGTGTGAAAAGTAGGTTGCGTAGACCATCGTAGACCCCAATGAAAGTGGAACTCTGCGAAGAAAAAGGCTCTTGCATTTTGTGATGTGGCTCGCTGCAGTTTCACTGATGCTGCTGCGTGTGTTGAGCATTGAGCAGTGCTGTAGGATGCTGCAGGATGAGGAACAGCTGAAGATCCTTGCGCTTGCATTCTCTTGCGCTGAGGTCTTGTGAGTGGCCTGGGCGTGGTCGGAATGTGGCTGTGGGTTTTGGAGACCAAAGGATGCGACATTGAAGACAGCCCAATGACGCACCTCGACATACCTGGACATGCTTTGACTCCTTTGGCATGCTTTGACAATCCTTGGCAACGAAAGGGAATGGTTTTACAGGGATGTTTGACTTGTTTTGAAAAATTGCAAGCCTCAATGACTCAGTTACTTGAGTTTCAACATGTTTCAACATTCAGCTAGTAACCGAGTAACCCATAGGATCCAACCATTGGAGCACCGAGCTGAGGCCACGGTCAGAGCGGTCGACTTCAGTATTGCTTGGCCCAGGAAGCAATCAAGCAAGTGCATGGCTCGGATGTCATGTTTGCGACACATGAACCCTGAAGTATCCTGAAGTATTTGGCAGAGGATTGCCATACCCACAGACTTCAGTGTGGCGAGAAACTGTTCTGTTGAATGTGCAGACTCTTACTTTGTATTTGTATGAGTTGAAGCTTCTCTCAACTGTTTGTAATTTGGAACAGTGAGGCCCGACCAGCAACAGAGTGCCACTTGTCTACGTCTATTCCAAAGGTTACTCTTTCTTTCTGCTGTGAAAGGATCTCATTTTGAAACAAATCCTGGCACGTTCCGACTGGATTTTCAACTCCTGTGCCTGAGGGTGATCCGAAATACAGCCAATGCCGAAGACGGTCCACTTTATGTGCACGTGCCTTGCTCGTCTAGATTCTATATAGATTGTGCTGCTTGTTGCATGGCTTCAATTTCTGACATCTCAAAATTTCATGGGATCCAAGGGTAAATCTGCAGACAGTGGGTGTGCTCTTCAATTCCTTCGGGATAAGATGTCTTCCAAGCTGAGGTCGATTGATTGTGAGAATGAACAATCTTTGCATTTTTCCAAGACAGGCGGACCTTTGAATCTGCCTCGCTACTTGCAGCATGGGATAATGGGAATGCAATGCAATTCTGC